AGATTTATTCCAGCTCCATATTTTTATTCTTGCACTCTGCTAGAGTAGCTTTCCATCATTCTGGGACTTGGTGAAGCTTCTTCCGCTACCTAAAACAAGCTCTTCAAGCTTGTCCTTCTTTAAGCCAAGCTTATTATGAATGGCAAGTGGGTCAAAAATCATACAGATCCAAAATTAATTCAGAAATACTGACTAAAAGTCTGTCCTTTATACCTGTCTGAAACCTGCTACGTATATTTGGTTCATATGGATTACTGCCAAAAATGTAAAACTCTGGCTATTGTAACAGTGTTATGAGCAAAAATAAGGAAAATATTTCCCTTTAATCTTTCCATTATTCCTTTTCAAGATTTGAGAAGTAACTCTGAGAGATTCATCTGGCCCAAGAAGACACCTCAGTCACGTGTCTAGTCCAAACCCCGATCTTAACCTGACAGAATAAATAGTGCTTGATCTTTTTGTGTGGGTAGGTGTTGTACATTAAAGACTAACGTAGATAAAGTAATAGAGCTGATTCTGTTAGCACTACTTAAGGGCCGATCTTCAGATATGACACTGTTTGACTCGGGTCAAGACGAAAGCTCGACTAATTCAGCCCAAAACTCGAGTAAAACTCGAGCAAAACTCAGCAACTCGTAGTGCTCAAGGCAGATGACACTGAATCAAAAGGACATCGCTACTCCACACAGGTGTTTAATATTTGGTATCTGTTACTTCAGGTGGAAATGTTTTGGCTAAATGTAGTTAATTTCAATTGTATGTAATAAATTTGCATGTCTGGACTTGTTTTATCCCATAATAACCTTTCATCTTACTGGCTGCCTTGTTAATATGTTAAAAATCCAATTATCAGCTGACTTCAAAGCACTTAATCAACCTGTAGTGGCTGTTATGGTGGGAGATTGATACAGATTCTGCTCCCAAACCAACTTCTATTCAATCAGTGACTCATCCATCCCTAACAACCCATCTGGTGCCTTCCTTCCTCCAAACAGCTGCAGTGGATACCTACATGACAACTACATCACTTTATATTCAGCTTACTGCTTTTACATGTCCTCACAAGCTTGGGCAACACAAGCAACTATTGCTTGTGCTGCCCAAGCTTTAACATTGTGAGATTTATCACACACTTTCATGTTGATATTACAGTAAATCAGGGGATTAGCTGAGTTTAATGGAGTAGCGAATGAAGCAAGAAGGGTCTGTGTGCCAGCCTTTAATTACAAAAGGGAGAGGAGCCAATCCGTTCCTTTGAAATGGTTTTGCTTCCCTGATGACTCCAATAGAAAAGGTCAGAGGTAAATTTTAGTGCAGGGAAACGCCACGGCTGAAAACGACACCTGCCCTTTTCCTATTCTGAATGCCTCAGACACCGCTGGGTGATTGATACACTGAGCAGGGAATGTTCATCCAAAAAAATCTCTTTCTGTACCTTGCTACAGGCTGTAATTGTAAAAGGTAAAACTAGTAATGGGAAAACTTTGAGAACTCTAAGGTAGCTTTCCTATTGTCCTTGTACTTTGTTTATGCAACAGACCGAACCACTTTTCTTATGAAAGCCTGCTCTGTTTGAGTTCTTTCTGGGCTAGATGCACTCTCTGGGCAGAACCACCACATTGAGCTGAATACTCATTCCAGGCATAAACCTCTCAGTGAATTAGTAAGCAGGTATAGTTTTGTAGCTGTTGCACAGCCCCTACCTTTGTGGCATCCATATCTTTTTTTATAATTACATAACTAATATAGAAATTATCCCCTTTTTTTCAGTAAAACCTTTTTGGGCTATGAGCATCCGCATTTCTCTTCTGATTAATAGGATGGACCGCTTTTGAGGACCTTAAACTAACTGAGGCTTGATGGTGACCTTATAATTCTGTGAATGTTTCGGATAAAAGGCATGGGAGGCAGAGATTGGGCAAAATATTACACAAATACCCTTCTAAGTCTTTGTCCTCTGGGCTGTCTAACTGACAAGTGTGACAGGAAATGTACCTGTAAGCTTTTGGAGGTTTCAGGATACTTTTCATTTCCTGTGTGTAGATGTTTGTATGAGCTGAATCATCTTCATAGGTCAGGAGCAGAGTTACCACATAGTTCATAGAGGAGTTATTAGCCCAGTAATCACCATCAGAGGTTTCATAGCGTACAACGAACTCAATGCGAGAGCCATGTGTGGTATAAGGTGGCGCAAAAGACAACGTGAAGGAGAACTTGTCAGTTTCTCCATCGTGAGATCCCGGGACATACTCTGCTGGGTGATCAAAGTAAGTGGCCCAATTGTCCATTGTCGATCTGACATAAACTGCTTTGTGGAAGGAAATGTTCAGCACTCGTATTACCCCTGTGAAGGCGAGAGGATCGTTCTCAGCTGGAGACATCTGCTCAACCTCCACTTTATTGGTGCGCACAGCCTGCAGCAGAGCATTACCGGTGGGTGCATGAAACTCTGGGAGCACATGATAGATCGGCTCTCGCTCAGGCTTCCGATACTTTGCCTCCTCTTCCTCCCACTTTGCAATAGAGTCTTCATCGTCCGAATCAAAGGCAACAAATTCCTTCACATCCACCAAATCCCCACCTGTTGTGTCGGCAAATGACACTCTCTTCCCGGCGGACAGCGCCAAGTGGATCCGCATATACTCAGCGGTCTCATCGAAAATTGACGCACCTCGCTTTCTGGGTACCGGGGAGCATCTTGGGATGAAGCGGACGTCCTCGGTGTCATCGTCATCATCGTCATCATTCTGGTTATCTTCGGCGTCCATTGGTGACCTACTATCTGCGTCCTCGCCTGAGCTGCCTGTTTTTATCGTTTTAAAAAGACCCTCTTGGCTTGGTATGGTCAAAAAAGACATTTTTTAAAAATTATTTTTACAGACATAAACACTCAAAGGAGCCGAAGACTACATATGGCGTCTCTAAAGAGCTACCAAATACTCATGATTTGCGCAGCTGTGGTCAGTGATGATCCAGCGCTGTCGCTGCGTAACGCACAGTGCCTCTTCAGTCAACGTGTGGCGTTAAATGTCACCCATGGAAACATGGTCTTTACTGCCAGCCCTTGTGATAGTGTATCCCCTGGTTTTACATGACTTTATGCACGGCAGTTTGGCTGCTGTCGTGGAAGCACCAGCCCCTAATTTTAGCACTGACCTACCGGGTTTCCATGCCCTAAATGTGTCGATAAGTTGGTATAATCCTGCGGCTCCCCCTTGTTCTATTTGGTTCGGCCTGGCTATGCGCCTGCTGCTGGAAATAGCATATTAATGTCATAAATGCCAGCATTGGAAAGACAGGCTGCATGCGTATTTACTGAAACCTCTTTAGAGACAATCAGGTGGGAATTATTATTTCAAGATGGCGTCTCCAAACTCCCTCTCTCCAAGCCTGAATTCATCGAAGACTCAGTCTGTGATACATTATGTTCGTTAGAGTTTAGGCCATTTTAATTCCACCACACTGGGGAACGTTTTGCCATTCAGTATGAACAGCTGTCAGTGTAATTTAATGCCAGTCCAGTTGTAGCAGTGGTTGAGATGGTAAGAAAATCTAAAGTATAACCCATTGTGATAAAAATATGAAATTATGAAAAGATTGTTGATTGGACTTCATAATACGGCCCGTATTTTATTGTACATGCCGTGAAATACCTTAGTAAGGAGCCTAAGTAAGTAAGATTTAAGAGCTTGTCAAGAACAAAATTCTCAAAGTGCAAGGGTATCTAGGGGGATGATATATTTACCTAGGAACACTTTGTAGTTGATACAATTCAGGTTTTCACAGGAAAAAATTACACTGCCAATAATTTCCAGAAATGTATTATTTCCAGGTATTTTAGCAGAAAAACACAAATTTTCCAGCTTACACTCTAAAATCACTGCACTTTTTGTGGCTTAACTTGGTATTTTAAATTTCAATTATACCTTGTATTGGCGTGCATATAGCAGAAACAACAAACACCAGCACGCAATGCAGACTATGGCCTCTGTAATGATAAGACCATATGGACCTGTGCCCTGTGATATTTGCCGGTGTAGCAAAGGGAGAACAGTCCTTATCACATTTTATATATAATACAAATGGAGAACTCAATAGTGGAGCATCCATGATGAACATTATGACATGCTATATTTATAGTGTAAGATGAGAAACTTTGGGGGGTGGGGTTTCTGCTATACCTGGAAGCTGTGCATCACTTAATATTACTTTTAATTGCTTCTTCTCTGTAAAAACTTGAATTGTTACCTCCTTATTTTAATACATCTACTGCCAATTATTGCTAGGTAATTGTAATTACATTGTAATTCAGATAAAATACAATTATTGCTAGGTAATTGTAATTACATTGTAATTCAGATAAAATACATAGCAATCTCATTTAATTCTAGTGTAATCACACCGTTAGTTGTGGGCTGCATTATGAAATGCTACAAGATAATCTTATAATTCCAATTTTTTTTTTTTGCGGGGGGTTGCCCTGGCTGTAGATGACTCTTGCTTGGATTTGATTATCTTGGATCAGATGACCTCTGGTTTGTGATTCTTCTGTATAACCTTCAGCAATTTGACGAGGGGGAGAAGCTACGCAGAATAGATGCATGGCTATATGTGTGAAATCGTCTCTTGGAATAGGCCCAAGCTGCATCCGTTCTGCAATACTCAGTTAACCACCACACAAGCCACTGTGGGCACCGCAGATGATTTCACATGCAAACAAAGCCAAGTCCTTGCTTACATCTGGCGGGGTTTTTGTGGGCTAATGTGCATATTTTCATTTTAACATAATTTGTTTAGCGTGGTGTAAAGTGTCTCTTTTTATATAATGCTGTCGTGTAAACACTTAAATATGTTTCCCAGTATTGTCGCAATGATTTTCGCTACCCTGCGCTTGCTGCGCAGTAAACCCGCGGCGGCTCCGCTACAGATTACCGTGTAAACACACCCTTGTATGTGATTGGTCGAAACATTTTAGCGCGACGTACCACAGCCAATCACAGGATTGTTTTTCTATCACGTCGGTGCACGGATAGTAAGCTAACGGATAATGCAAAAACAAACTATTATAAAGAAGGCGGATTGCGGCTCAACGGCGATATAGCGTGGCAGGGCTCGATTATCTGGAACGAGTGTTTCTTGTTAGGATTTTATTTGTGAGCATGCGGTACGGCCGTGACTGCGAGGACGCAAGAATTGGGTAAGCCGAGCTAACCAGCGTTAGCAGCAGCGTGCTAATTTTCAGCGTTCCGCAAGGCCGCAGAGAAATACGAGCACTGCTTCCTGTTGTTGCTTCATTGAGAATGTAGGCTGAGCTACGATCACAACGTCAACCCCAAAAGTGTTATCTCGGAAACGAGCGCAGTCGTGCAGTTATTTGCACTTCAATTTATTTTATACGAGCTTGCGAGCTACCTAGCTCGTTAGCTAGCTAGCATGAGTGAAGTGACGGACTGCAAGCAGTCCGCTGACTCTGCATCGAGGAAACGGTGTCCATCACCCGATAAGGATGAAGGCAGCCTGATTCCCAGCAAGTCCGCAAAACTTAGTGACCAGCCAGATGAAACGAGGGTTAGTTCTGAAAGTTGCAAAGACAGTGAAGCCGAGAGTAAAGAAGCAGCCGGGAGCGAGGGCCAGTCGAAAGATGGCAAAGAGGAACAAGCCGCTGTGAAAGCAGATCAGGGTTCAGAGAGCACTGGTGGCACCAGTTCACAGCCTGTCAACAGCTCCAGCGCTGACAGCCACCACACCAGCAGTAGCACCGACAAGCCGCAGTCCTCGGATGAGCAGGAGTCGGCTCATGCAAAAGACAAAGCAGAGAAAACAGTAGAAACGGAGCGGCGTCCCACAGCTCCTCTGGACAAATCCGACTCAGCTGCCATAGCAGCTGCTGAAGCGCTGGCCAGTCTCACAGGGGGGGACGGAGAAGACAGTCAAGAGACTCCTTGTTCATCTGAAAAGGCCAAGCAGGTGAAACAAGGGAGTAAATTTAAACAGCGCGGGGGACACCAGTCCTCAAAAGTTGGCTCCAAAACACAAGCAGCGGCAGCAGATAGCTCCACATCTGTGCATAGTACTGACAGAGAGGATACAGATGATGTGCCTGAAGCAGATGAGGGCGATGAATCGGTATCTGGCTCTTCCTCCACACCGAGCTCCTCTTTCCCATCAGACAATGAGGAAAACGATGATGGCGAATGTGCCATTGTGTCTGTAAAGATGGCTCCAGAGTTGAGGCAGTCGGTTGCTCTCCTGGCACAAGTACAGATGAGGCTGGAAGCCCTTGAGAAGAAAAGTGCCCGGCTTCACCAGAGGCTGGAGTTGAAGATTAGTCGTCAGCGGCGCCCGCATCTGGATCAGAGAAGTTCCATCACGAAAACGATCCCTGGGTTTTGGGTGACAGCTGTATCCTTAAAATATGAAAGTGTAACGCTCGACCGATTGCCATGCTGTGTTTGAGTATTTCAAGTGAATTTGTCATGTTGTTTTTTCGTAACTTCGATGTGCCAGCTGTTGAACCATCCTCATCTCTCAGCTCACATTGATGAGACCGATGAAGACGCTCTTAGTTACATGACTGATCTTGAGGTAGGACATTTTATTCTCACAATCTCAGCTGATGCATATTTGTAGAATGGAAGAAAACACGTTTTCCTACCTCTTTCCTCAGATTGAGTCTTTCAAGAATAACAAATTGGGCTACAGAATTCGCTTCCACTTCAGACGAAACCCCTACTTTCAGAACAACATCATCATGAAAGAGCTGCACCTCGGAATGGGAGGTAAAAAAAATAAACATGCGATTATAAAATCAAGTGATATTAGGTAAAGCATAGTGTAGCCTCAAAATTATATCAGTCTTTTGGAGAATACAGTAATACGATTTTTGACAGTGCACAAAAAAAACACAAAACATTTTTTTAGTGGTTGCTGCTTGCAGGCTGCAGCATTTATTAGTGTGATCAAAATGAAGGGCTTTTTTCCTCCCACATAAGTCAAATGTTTTCTCCAAAAAGCATAAAATAACTGCCACACTTTAGTTTGACAGCTACTACTTAACCATATGCATAGTATTGTCACATAATAAAATCTAATTAAAACACATTTTCAACCTGGGATGTTGTATATTGGGTTGACCTTTTTAACCGACTGCTTAAAGCCCTCTTTTTACCACCGTGCAACTACATGAGTAATTTCCATCCACCATTTGATTTTCCTATCACATAGGAACTTATGATAGGAAAGGGTTACTCCCTAGTTGCATTATGTGCAAATAGGAAGTGCTCCTGCAGTGCTTACGTGAGGCATTTGTTTACTTTAGGGCACACATCACCAGCTCCTAGTATCTCCTCCTCATGTGCCTTAATAGCCCGTTTGTGCAGAACAGTGTGTTTGCGTCAACTGGTGGAACAAGTTTGTCGTTTCCACCTTTAGTGGGATCAGTTTTCTTGCATGTTTTGGAAAGCACTGTGCTTTGTCGGAGCTTGATGAGGTAGCTCCCTTATTAGGTACAAAGTGGTTAATGGAGGCTAACATGCAGTTCTTGCTCTCAGATGTGTCTGGGCTTGAGTCATTGTAGTGTGTGCTAGGGAAAGTAAATGCATGCCATTGGTGTGTCAATGATATATTGATATGACATTTATATATCATTTAAAAATTTACACTGGTATTGTGAAAAATAAGGTTCAGTACAGCCCTAGCATATAAGGATAATCTTAAAAAGTAGTGTTATCAATTTTGCCTTTTTCCCCCAATTCGGTCATATTTTGGAAGGGAAAATGACAACTAAATGGGAAATTTTCATTAACAGCTGCCTAGGGCTGTTCGATATAACGATATATATCAGATGACGATATAAAAACGTCTATCGTTTCATTTTACGCTATCGTTTGTTTCGTGGTGTCGCAAAATAAACTGTTTAACTGCAATATTTTTTCATCGTTTTGATGGTCACTGTAGTGGCTATATTAATTTCTTAAAGTTCTCTCTTTCTCTTATATTTAATATAACCACACTACGAACAGACAAGCGACTGTTTTTATGCGTTGTCGTTAGCAACAACGACAGTAAAATCATCGCGTGTCCGCTTGTTTATTTTCCACATAAACCTTTCACGATAAAGCTCAAGATCCTGTTGAAACTTTTCAAAATAAACTGAATCACGTGAAAGAGTGTGCAGTGTTTACGGATGAGAAGCAAAAAAGAGCCGGCAGGTGTTTAAAAAAAAAAAAAACCTTAGACTCAAACGTTAGAACAGGCAGGGAAAAGCCTGTTCTAACGTTTTTTCCCCAAAAAAGTAAAGTATTGTGTTTGTTATCTTTATGGTTTGCTGATGTTATTGCACCTTTAAGTAATAAAATTTAGTTTGGGTTCCTTTTTATTGTTTGATTAAAAAAAAATATGGAATGCGAGAGTGAACTTCAGCTTCTGGGGCACTCAAGAAAAAGGGAGGACCACTGATTTAGGGGACTCATGTAAATAAAAGCCCAGTTACAATACGGCTGGTGAGTGGCAAAACTTGCTTTTAGAAGGGCACACACCGTACTCAGACAGCGCAGTTGCCTTTTGAAATGGAGGATTGGCTGAGATTACTTTAACTGTTTCACTCTTTGTCATTATATTCATGCACATGAATAGAAAGAATCATTTGTGATGTCAAGCAGGAAGCTTATATTCTCATGTTCTAATCCTGGCTGCTCATGTTTTCAGGATCTCCCATGTCATTCTCCAACCCCATTCTATGGCATCGTGGACACAACCTGACAGCCCACAGTGAACCCAGGAAGTCTTCACGTGGTGTTTATGAGACGTTTTTCAGCTGGTTCAGTGACCACAGCAGCCCAGGACAAGATGATGTAGCACAGGTACACAAGAGTACACCCACATATTGGACTGTAGCAAAAATAAATCGATAAGTATAATTTTATTTATTTGTTTATAAGGACAACACATTGATCAACATTTCTGTGAGTATGGCAGCGTTAGTCAGCTGGCTAATTTTCAAGTGCAGTTCTTTGGCAAGATGTTTTTAAAAATGATTCAAATAATAGAATAAACACGATAATTGGACAGACAATTACACTCACTACTCAAGACAAGAGGAAAGAGCAAAAATGTACTCCTAATATAATATAAAGACAAGCGGCAGCCACCACAAACATTTAATACAATAATAACAACAGTAAGCAGCAAAAAATAATAGAAACAGTAACCCTGCCTGGTAAAGAATTTTAGGCAGGTTAGGTCGAAATAGAAAAATAAAAACAGCTTTACTAATAAATTAGAGAATTTACTGTGCAGATTATAACATGTTTGTGTCTGATCAACCTGGATCAAGACCTGGAGACTTAGTAACGGTGTTGTAGGAGCTCCAGTTTCTGTTTTCACTTGGTAAAACATTTTCGATTTGAAGCTTTGATTAACAGGATCTCCTGATTTTAAATGTATGTTGCTGTATTCGCAAATGTATGTTGCTGTATTCGAAAGCTTTCAGACCCACTAGGCTGCAACAGTTTCAGAGGTATTTTGTTAACCTATTATTAGATTTTGCTAGACAATCATTATTTGCAAGCATGGTGTGCCAACTGTGTGCTGAAAGGGTCAGAGTTCAAATGCTTGAAGCAATTATGTCACATTTAGTTAACATGATTACAGTCAGACTTTGGAGAAATGGCGACTTTACTACCCTTTAAAAATAGAAGAAATTCCTCTTTCAGTTAATTGCATTTTTGAACTAGATAAATGTGAAGTGAACTGAAGCTTCCACAGTCTGGTTGAGAGTAAAGTTGGACTTTAAGGATGGAGCACAAGTAAAGAAACGAGAGGGGTAAAATGTGAATGTGACACAGTTTAATCTTGATTTCCAAAATTGAGGTTGAAAATAAATTTTAAATAATTGCGCAGCCCCAATAAGGACACTTCCTTTTTTGTTTTGGTTTGTTTTTAACAGATATAAAAATCAGGGTGTCTATCAAGTTGACCACCACTGGGCAAATGTGTGCGTTCATTTATTTATTTATTTATTTTTATACAAAAGCTTCAATGGTAAATTAACAGTTTAAAAAGACTATAAAGACATTTTAAAAATAAATAAAGAGCCAACCGATATGTTATAAAGCTAAATACTGTTTAACCTGTTTAGTTGATGAGGTCACTAAAGCCCCTTTTCCATTAATACCTACTCTGGCCGGCTTGCCACGGTTTTCAGGGTTTTCCATTAGGGGGTTCCAAGCAACCCAAGGTAATCCCAAAATATAATTTCAACAGACTGCATGCCACCGATTGGCTGGTAAGTGGCATCAATCAATGAGTTATGAGAGGGTCGCGTTCGCGAAAATCAAAACCAACATTTTTAAAACCCCGAAAACAAGGAAATGGCAACAAAAACAACACGGTGGTCTCCGAGTCTGATGAAAAGCCTCAGACCGCTCGACGTCCACCTTGATTGTAGCATTCATGTCACATACTAATTACATCACTGGAAGTTCAGCCACGTTGCTATGACAACGATCGCGCACACTAGGTGGTACTCGATTGTAACGGAAAACCCGTCGATCCAAGTAGGTACTAATGGAAAAGGGGCTTATGGCACAGTGGGTCATCTACAAATCTGAAGCTCTGTGGTTTGATTCCCACCATGTCAAAGTGTTCTTGAGCAACCCCAAATTTCATCTGAAGCGTCAATCAGCTTGTGAGTGTGACAGATTAAGCTTCTTTTGGCTGCTCCGTTATTCACATGGGGTCGCCACAGCGGATGGCGCCAGGATATTTGCCAGATTTTGAAGCCGGATGCCTTGTATCTCCTCTCGGTCTTAAACACCGGCTTTTTCACATGTTCTACAAATGTATAAGCCACTGCAAGTATGGAGCAGAAGCCGATCAATATATTAATCTGCCATTACTGGCGATTTGAGGGTTTTTAACTATTGAGAGATGAACAATTATTAATAAATGTTTTGCATGCCAAGCACAAGTAGCAGCTGATCCAATCCAAGTGACGTGTTGTGAAAAAGTGCTTTCAGAGCCCAGTAAGAGTAGAAATCACTGTAAAAATACCAGTCGATTTACCATTTCTAAGTCCATATTTGTTCACTTATGGCTGGCTCAGGCTTTGCCCTTTGTTAGTGATGTGCTTCAGTGGGCTTTCGCTGGTATAAGCTGTAAATTGGGAAATGAACTCCCTGTTGTTGTTTCTCTCTCTCTCATCACCCGCTGTGTGTGCAGGGACGCACTGAGGCCCAAATGCTGCTCCCTCTTCAGTTAATAGTTAATGCGTTTTTTTCCTCTGCCTCAAAAGATTGAATTAATAGTTCCATATTAATTGAGCGCAACATTAAATTGCCCACCTGACCAAAGCCGCCAGGGTTACATTTTCTGATGGAAGCCCTATAATAGGAAAATTCTTAAACAATGCCATCAGGAAACCGAGTTTGTGTGTGTCTGTGGGGGTGCATTGTGTGTTTTCTATTCAAACATTTGCCTCTGGCAGGAATGCACATGGTGTGTGAAACTGAACATGTGCATCTCAACATATTGAAATGTACTGAGATAAAAATTTGTGCTGTTCTTCAGATTCTTAAGGACGACCTGTACAGAGACCCTCTGAGATACTACCTCACTCCTCTCTGGGAACCGAGGGAGAACGGCAGGTAAAACAAACTCACAGATCCTACCAACTAACAGTCAGTGGGAGAAACACACATCGTAAGCTATAAAATATAGAAGTATTCTCAGTAGCTGAGTGGGCTGCATATCAAAACAAAGAGCGTGTTTACTGTTAATGTGAAGGTTTATTTTTTTTAATTCAGCAGTAGTGGCACGGGGGCTAGAACGGCTGACAACGGCAACGGAGACGAGTGTGTTGTGATCTCTGACTCGGATGATGAACCCGGTGAGGAGGCTGGTGAAGCTGAACAAGGCAACAGTAGGGATGAGGAAGAAGAGGAGGAGGAAGGCGAAGAAGAAGAAGAAGAGGAGGAAAGAGGGCAAAGTGCAGGTCAGTGCCAAGACGGGACGGATAAAACAGTTCAAATCCCGCATTATACAGAAGCTCATTCTCACTTCTAGCTTATTTTGAAAATGGATGTCTGCGTCCATTTAGTGTTGAGCTCGCTGGGCTGTGTTGTAGCTGAAATTTAAATGTATGAGTAATGCGGGTTAAACTGAATAGACAAGAAATATCTCCTCCTCAGATGAGAGCCCAGGGGAGGAGGAGGATGGTGGAGAGATTGTGATCGACGGTAAGACATCACTCTTAACAGCAGCGCTACAAATTCACCATTGTGTCACAAATAATCAGTGGGAGGCTGTTGAATCTGCGGGTGGCATTTCAGTCTGCATATCCTTCATTCTTTGATTTATTTAAGCTGAATCAGAAAAACAAAAACATCTTGTTTTATTGGAGTTTTTAAACCAAGACTGAAAAATATTTGTATTTACTTTGTTATAGTGTTATAATGAAAATAAGAGCGCAGACACAGGTATGCAATTTCAACACAATTCGCAGTTTTTCTCAGTTTTTTTTTCCCACTGTAACTTTCATCTCAAGGCACTTTATATTGTGATGTCAAGACTCTACAGTAATATGATGTGAGCAAGGACGGTGACAGTGGGGAGGATGAACTCCCTTTTAGCCTCCAGCAAAACCAGGCTCAGGGAGAGGGCAGCCATCCACAGATGGAGAAGATAGAAAAGAGGAGCATAGGGATATGATGAACAACAGATGGTACAAGAAACTACAGGACACATTATTGACTTGAGTAGTGGTTTATAAACACATGGGGGGGTGGAGAATTTGGGAAGTCCCCCAACAGCCTGAGCCTATAGGAGAATAACTAAGGGAAAATTCAGGGTCCTCTGATCCAGCCGTAACTGTAAGTTTTATCAAACCGCAACATTTTAAGCCTTATCTAGAAAGCAGGAAGGGTGTCTGTCTCCTAAACCCAAACTGGGAGCTGGATCCACAGGAAAGGGGCCTGAGAGCTGAAGGCTCTGTCTCCCATCCTACTTTTGGAAACCACAAGCGATGGGATAATAAGGCAATATAAGGTCTATTTCAGTGTTATAAAACATTCTTGAGCCATACCAGCTGTGATTTTCTTAAGTGCTTTCCCAATTTTAAAAGGCTCATTAATACATTTCTCATAGGATTTAATTAGAGCCATAATTACTACAGCAAAACTAAATCTTTTTCACTGCATGCTTACCTGTGTTTTTTTGTTTGTTTTGTTTTTTTTAAGTAAAAATAAAAAAAACATCACTATTTCTTTCCTTTCAATTTAGGTTTCAAAACAGAAAAGAAACAAAATAAGAAAATTCATTTTCCCCAAATCTACATTTAAAACCAAACACAAATAAATCAAAGAATGAACAATACATGGATTTAATTCATAATCTTTTCCCTCTTTCCTACTCTTTTAAATTATGGTATTTTTTATTTTTATTTACCTTTTTTATTTTAAAGTTTGCTTTGTGGAATAATAAAAGTGACCCATTGAAACGATAGATGTCTGATTTTTGTCCTGTAGGCTCCGACGACAGCGATCAGGAGGAAGAAGAGGAAGAGGGAGCATAAGAAGAAGAAGAAGACGTGAGCTTGAAGGAGTCACCGTAGGGACCAGAGGATGAAGAGAATGCTTGGTTTGTGAAGACTAACAGCAAACATTAAACCCTTCTTCCTGATGTTAGTCATTTTTATGCACAGAATATCCAGTTTTGTTTTGTTTTTTTATAACTAAAATAAACACACAGAAGCATTTTAAATCAGGTTTAACTGTAACAACAAAGCCAAGGCAGCGCGTTTCCCCTCTGTTTTATACAGTTGGTACTGTGTATTCTGATGTACTCTGATACACTTTTTGCAGTTGTTTTTTTTTTCTAAGCAGATTCTTGGGCATATTATGCCTCCTGGTTCTTCTACTGTTTTTCGATTTAAAGAGCATTGTACTACAACCTGTACGCGTGTAGGTGAGTTTTCTGATTGCCCCTATTTGGTGGCATAAAACTTTGCATTGCATATTCTTCAAATAACAGTGAAGCCTTCAGAGGCTTTATTAGCAATCTTGTCACATTTGGGCTTTTCTTTTGTTTGTTTGTTTGTTTTCTGGGTTTTTTAGGAATCGACATGTGACAAAGCAAATATGTCACAGTTTAAATTTGATGTAGTTACAGTACATTTTAGATGCACTGAGTACTGAACCAAAATTTGTTCTCAGGGATGATCATGGCGGTAGTCGCGTTGAAAGAACCATGCTGACTTTTCAGACATTTACACACTCTGGTTATTGTCGGTTGTGTATAAAGAAACGTGTACTCTACTGTAGTAAGTAGGAACAATTATTGTTTTAATAGACTACCTGTGTTTTGTTTCGGGTTTTTCTTTCTCCCCTGCTCTACGTGTCCTGTCTTGCTACACACCAGCCTCCATCAGCAGTCTGTAAACCATCTCTGGTGTTTAAAATTATTGCGTAGTTTGACGTTTTTGTGGATTTTTGTAAAGCACTCCTTGAGTAAGAAGCGTTTTGATATTTGATTTTCTTTTAGATTTTAACTTAATTTGAAATTTACTTTCTAAATCATTGAAGGTTTAATCTAATGTAATGTGTTTAAGGTTTGTGTTATCTGCTTAAAATGATGGTATTTATTACTTTGTTTTTCTACAAATCCACATTATGGCATGCCTGTGAGCACGAAATATAAGATGAAGTGATTATATTCCTTACAAGGCCGTGTGGGGGGGGGCGAAGTAATTTTCTGCGCACAGTGTTAGTAAATGTTAAATTCACAGCAACAGATGGGGTGCACTGTAACAAAGCTAGTATTTGTATTGCTTACTTTTCTTAGCAAGGAACCTGTAAATAATACTTCTGCGTTGTCTTTTGGATAAGGCAAAACATGTTTAATCCATGGATAAATTTATCAAATAATCTGGAGGGTTTTTCATAAACATGATCAGAAGGTTATATTTTGTGTGCTGTGTTTTATAGAACACTGTAGTTACAGATACCTACTTGTTTGTTGTTTTGGGTAATTTTTTTTCTTTTTTTGTTTTAAAGATAAATGTCAAGTTTTTGCTCAGACCTAATAAAATAGACAGTTGTTTCACTTCGTCTGTGTGGTTGACATATGCTAGATCCCCAGTCCCCAACACCCGGGACACGAACAGTACCGATGTGTGAGTCGTTTGGTACCGGGCCGCGAGAGTTGAGGCTCGGGTGTGACATGGATGGTTTTCAGAGTTTTTATTGTTATTTTTCATTGTTTTTATCGTTAACTCTGTGTCCCTGGATCTTTTTCCGTGTGTTATGAATAAATCATCTTTTTTTGGTACCGGTACCGGTTTTATTTTGTTGTATTTTCCTGCAACACCTAAAGCAGGGGTCTCCAACTCCAGGCCTCGAGGTCCGATGTCCTGCAGGTTTTAGATGTGTCCTTGATCCAACACAGCTGATTCAAATGGCTAAATTATCTCCGCAACATGTCTTGTAGTTCTCCAGAGGCCTGGTAATGAACTAATTATTTGATTCAGGTGTGTCGACCCAGGGTGAGATCTAAAACCTGCAGGACACCGGCCCTCGAGGCCTGGAGTTGGAGACCCCTGCCTTAAAGGAAAGTCTATGAAAATATTGTCGGACATAAACCGGTCCGTGGCGCAAAAACGGTTGGGGACCGCTGTGCTAGAGAAAATTTTTGTTATCTATTGTGGAGTTTATGCCCAAATATACACTCACTGGCCACTTCTTTAGGTATACCTGGTTAGTACCCGGATTTACCCCTGTTTGCATTAAAAGCTGTCTTAATTTTTCATGCACAGATTCAATAAGGTGCAGGAAAGATTTCCCAGAGGTTTTGATTTGTATTGACACGATAGCATCACAGGGTTGCTGTGGATTTATCGGCTGCACATCGTGATCTGAATCTGCCGTTCCACCACATTCCATAGGTGTTCTTTTTGGCTTCAGATCTGTCGACTCTGGAGGACGTTTGAGTACAATGAGCTCTTTATCGTGATCAAGATCCCAGTTTGAGATCTTTTTTACTTGGTGCGACTCATCAGAAGATGGGTACACTTTGGTCAAAACGGGATGGACTTTTTCAGCAAAAATATCCTGGTATGCTGTGGTGTTTACACAGTATTCAGTTGTTACTAAGGGGCTCAAAGTCTGGCAAGAAAACACCCCTCACATCATGACACTACCACCACTAGCCTGAGCCTCTGATATAAGGCGGGGTGAATGTTGTTTACTCCAAATTTTGACCCTACTGTCCAAATGTTGCAGCAGAAATTGATGCTCATGAGACCAAGCAACGTTTTTCTAGTCTTCTATTCAGCAATTTATGATGAACCTCTGTGTGAAATGTAACACTTGTAGCACCCACTTCTCTGTTTCTGCTGACAGGAGTTGCACTTATCTCAAATTAGTTTAGCCATTCTTGTCTGACCAGTTTTTTTACCAGTGGAGATACCACTCACTGGATCGTTTCTCTTTTTCAGACCATTCTTTGTAAACCCTAGAGATGGTTGTGTGGGAAACTCCCAGTTGATGTAGAAATTTCAGATATCAGACCAGCCTGTCTGCCACTAACAACTCACTTGCGTCACTTAAATCACCATTCTGATCCTCGTCTTGATCATATCTATATACCTAAATGTATTTAATTGCTGCCATGTGTTTGGCTTCTTAAATATTTTCTTACCCCTCACTTACCTGTTCCTCTTCACTGCCCCACTACGCAATAAAAAAATCTTAAAAACATAAATATCTAATATTTACAACATCTAGTCACTGGATATCTCTCTTCCTCTTATTCACGTCGAGCCTGTAACATCTGGGTTCAGATCCTCTGATGCATACAAATGCACTCGGTGACACACTTGCACCTGCTTTTAATTCTGACCATGTATAATGTGTTTCTTTGTGTTTGTGTGCCTGTATTGTTGTGCAAGTACACTACTGAGAAAAAGATTTAAATCGTCCTCTTTGCATTTTGCCAAGAAAATGTGCAAATGTACATGCAAATACAGTATAAAAAGGAAAAAAGGAGTTTGTACAATTCTCCCAAAGCTCTTCCTTGGATGTTAGCTGGCATGTCTTTTGTTTTCAGTCTGATTCCACACTATTTCGATACTGGCTCTAGGGAGGCCAATCCACGACTGAAGCCACTGACACTTTCCCAATAAGTACTTTTCTGTATTTATAATTCCATCAAGTTTGAAGAGATCCTCAACACTACTGGCTGAAATGCAGCCCCAAACCATGACAGAGCCTCCACCATGTTTACAGATGGATGGAGACATTCACTGTTGTTTCTCCCTCTTGATCTCTTCTGTACATAGTGAACCAAAAATATCTAATTTGGATTCATCCTTGATTTGATCGCTTGTCCAGTTTCCTCAAGTGTTCAGCTAACAGCTCTTTGAGAAACACCTTGGTGGTGCAAAATACTATTGTGGTGTTATTGCTCATGGCCAACTTAGAAATGACAAGCACGCCTGGCTGCTTAGAAGCAAAGTGTAAAGAAATGATGAGTGGTCCAAAACTTTTGCACATTACTGAGGTTATTGTATATCGGTCTGCCTTTAAAAAAAGGTTTCAGATCTCAACAAGACTGTTTAGTTCTTCTTTCCATAAAGACAGCATTTGATCACCTCTCCTGTACCTTTAAAGATGAGCTTTGACAACTCAGTATTGATTAATAAAAAAGTGGTTTTATAACCATTAGAATAGGTTCTGGGTTTTTCCAAGAGTAGTCCCAATAAACTGCATAGACAGGGATCACCCTCACTACCTTCTGATGCACACTCAGCCTCTTTGTTCTTTAAGTAGCCTTAAAACAAGACAGAAACCACTTGGTTCATAGAAACTAGGCTTGCCCTCTAGTAAGTTTCCAAGGTGGAAAGAGTTAAACAAAGGCTTTCATAATGATAATAAAATAGCCACAAGATGGCAGTGTGGTTAAGCCAATCTATTGTTAGAATAGCTGTCATTTTTTTTGTTTTTAATGAGTGAATCTAATATCTCATAAACAGTCACATTTGACAGCAGTATTTAGGCTATTAGGTGTGTAGAAATGAGAAATGATTAAGTCTTCCCTCAGCTGTCTCACACGAACACTAACCGCTTCTAATAAGTTATAGATGTGTGACTTATTAAAGTGATCTCAGACATGTTTGGCTGCAACACTTGCATGTTGACGGGAAGAATCAAAGAAGACCCGCTGAGATACAGCTGTTCTTTATTGTATTCCCACTTTGATTTGACGGCAGTGTTTGTTATCGCTGACATTTCAAATGTAGCACTGCAAATAGCCACGGGCAAGACATTTTTGGACAGGCCCAGACAAAGGACCAGCAGTGCTGTTGCAATGGTACACTTAAACCCCTGATTCCACTTTTAATGCACAGCTATAAATATTCCACTAGCGAAAACCTGTCCTGTTGTAGCAGCACCCGGGGTATGCGGTCTAGGATGGGCCTATACTATTAATACTGATGATGAAACACATTATGGCCACATGAAGTGATCCCATGTGAAACACAGTGTTTGTCTCCTCTTTGAAGTAGTTTTTTTCGGCCTATCTCAGAGCACCACATGTTTTCATGACTATGAATTAATAATGAGGTTGGTTCCTACAATATTGATTGTGACAAACTAAGTACAGATTGCTGGGACAGTAAAACCGTCCTCAGGCTGCTTTGTGGTCTGAGGGTAGTCTGTGAAGCCTTTGTTATGTGTGGGGTGGCAAAATCCTAAATGGATTCTCCGTTGTAAACTACACTTTGAGCTCTTGTTGCTACTGTACACAAATCATCTTGTCATGCAGCTTCATGTTCTTCGCTTTTTTTTTTCAGTGCATCTTAAGAATCTCAGGCCAATTAACGGTGACAAAAAAATGAAAGAACAACACACGGGAGCTAATTCCTCATCTGTGATTAATGTGGGGGAGGTTATATTTTCTCCTGCAATGTGTGCAAAAAAGGGGCATGAGCTGCTCTCTGAGGCTCATCAATAGTGGATAATCTGACGGTTTGAGATAGGCCTCCTTGAATAACAACTACCTGTGTGTGAGTGTGTGTCTGCAAATGTAGGTCTTGTAGTGCTGTTTGCGAAGCTTGCATTCGACGTGCACGCTTTGGGGTGCACGCACGCTCGCAGGAGCCGCGCGTCACATAAACACGCCTTCGGGTTTTTAACGCGAGCGCGATCCACTGCTCGTCAGATAATCAAGATGAAGCACAGCATTTCAGTAGTGCAGCAGAGAGAGCAGCTAAAAATGAGAAGAGAATGGAGTGAGTATGACTGAGGGAAATGGATGAGTGCAGTGATAAGCAGGGCTGCCCGGGCCCTGACAGATACACACAGCAGATGGATGACTCTTATCTGGGAGATCACAGAGTGCATACTCACGCCTAGGCCCAGTCACAGAGCCACGATCACACCAGACAGATGAATAGGCCTATCCCCAACCAATCACACCGCACGTACTGTAGACACACGCACACGAGTGCACGCGCACACCTACACACACACACGCGCGACTTCTTGACAGAATGAACAGATTGCAGCTTCTGCGTTACCTTTTGTGTCTTTGACATTGAAATTCACCTGGAGTCTGGTGTCTCAAGGATATGTGCGAAGAGAGCAGGGAGCAAGGGTGTGGACGGAGATAAGAGAAATCAATTTAATTTCAATTCGAGCAGCGGACGCGAACGCGCGCGAGTTTGTGTCTCCGCGCCGGCATGCACACACTGTATGCATGTGCGCCGGCATACAAATTTATCCGTCAAAGAAAGACCCGCATACACTGTATTCTCACTTTGTTCAGCTTGCCACATTTTTCTTTTCACTAATTCTCTTAGCGCAAACAATGTCTGTGGCAGAGGTTAAGATAGAGCTCGAGTCATAAATACTCAAAACAAATAACATTTTGAACTGTTTTTCTCCCACTGGGACACTTAACCATTAACCAGCTATTACCAAAGACTTTTCAAAGAGTGCTGACAGATCTACCTTTTAAGACACGGGGACTGTGCTTGCACTCATCTGCTTACATCCTCACTATCCTCTTTTGAAATACAGCTACCCTCCCTACCAACCACACACACACGCACATACCCCTTGTTATTTGGAAAGAGCTCTTCTTCAACAGCTGTTGAATCTCCCAGCTGCGTTTTATTACAAGGGAAAGTGCCAGTCTTGTCTTCAAGGCAGATGGCGGGCTGGCTGGCCCCATAGACACGTGGCATGTTGGACGACTGCAGACGGTGCTCCATCTCAAAGAAGCCGAAGCTACATTATGTTTGTAGAGTGTTTGCACTAAAAGTCTGCACTCACCTCATTCCCAATCCGCTGTGTGGTGAGCAGGCTGTGTCTGGAATGTGCGCCACGTATGCACCCTTCATGTCAAAGATGTTTTCCAAAGTTGCTCTCCTTTGATAATCACTGGTGTGTGAAGTTCGCGAGTGTCGCACAGCACCTGCTCTCTTTTCATCCATTGTGATGTTTACATTTTTTCGGACCTGTAAGATAATAATTGCAAGGCTGGTTAATCTGCGTGGAAAGCGTTGTCACTGAACACAGGGCAAACAATTCTTGTGAATGTCTTATAGTCTTATTTTCTCTACCCTATAATTTCTTCTTAAGGTGATTTCATGTAATGGTGATGCCCTGGACATGCCTCAGAGCTGCTGGCATGTTCAGACACTCTCCAGTTCATCAATACACTACAGGAGAACCCATCAGGGGGTTAAAATAATAGGTTGTCTTTCCTTGCGGGGACAATACCCTGGCTCTGGAAATGATTGATGGGTCTGAGGTCCCAGGATTCACCAGGAGTTTTTGGTTGGCCTACAGGGATCAATGTCTACCTCACATTTCACATTACCTATCCATTAGGGAAGAAGAGCCACTTGAGGGGGGCTTTTTTCTGGACCAGAAAACCAGCCAATGTTGTTTCCTAATCCTACAGTCTGTCTCCAACAAAATCATCCATCATGCTGGAGTTAACAGGGATAGACTCACGTACACAGAGCAAAAATACCAACCGCAACACTCAGTGAGGGACTGTTGCTATGACTTTAGCAAGTTGAGGCAGCAGTGCATGAATGCTGGGGAGATAAGACCACAGGATGATGCAGTGAAAGATACTGTACAGATGAAGTTAATGAGTGCTTGTGAAGGGTGGGAGCTGGTCAGTTTATTGGTGTCCCTGGCCAAAGTTGAGAGCACATGGAAACTTGAACCCTGCACACAGTCATGAGTCATTTCCGCAACTGGAAACAGAAGGATGCCTCCTGTGGGGCAGGAAACAAAGGCGCTCTCCTGGATACATTTTGACACACTTTGCCGCCTGTAGATCACATGTGGCTGATACCCAGCTTCTGATAAGGTCAGTGATTTCACATACTCTGCTGGTGTGATGAGGGATCAAACCAGAAAACGTGCATTAAAGATAGATTTAAGCGTTGAAGATTAGAGTGTTCTGAGGCTTTTCCAGGAACTGCCCCCCCCTCCATGTGACCTTTTACACACTGGCACACCACATCACCTCATGGGTTTATTTTATTTTACTGTCTTACAGGGCTGTTGCTCAGAATACACTCACCGTCTGCTTTTGTGTCTTTAGTGCGCCACACTGCGTCAGGGCTCTCCACAAAGCCGGCAATGATGAGAGGCGCCCTAAAAGCTGTTTTAATTTCAAGCTCAAGGCTCCGTTAAAAGGATGGATGTCCTTTACATTCAGTCCTCCCCCCCTTTCTGGTTGCTTTGTCACTGTTGTCATGAGCGCTGGAGCCAGCCAGAGAGGAATCCCTGGAATCTTTTTCGGCTGACCTGGCTCTGAAAAGTAATGGTGACATTGTCCTAGTAGCAGACCCGACTCCTAAATGCTTAATAGTAAATTTCAGTCCCTGCATCATGTGTAAGAATAGTCTGTGGCCCTTCTGGTGCCTCAAAGAAACTAAAAATGAAAAAGAAAAAAACATTCAACAGTGACTGTATGCCCTTCACAGTTTCCATAAAATACGCAATAATTTAAGCATTCTAAAAATAATTAGACTGATATAGATTAGTTGCAGTTTACAGCAGAGTGGAGCGGTGAGTTTAACTCAGCAGCAGTGATAGGGTTAACATACCCATATGGTGTACCAAGAGGTTTGGTCCAATGCTGCTGTGGGCCAACAGGAGAGCGAAGGCTGGGTGGGGAAAGAACAGAAGGGAGAGGACAGCGGGGCATACACTCTCCCAACACCTGCACCTGGTCACTTGAATCTCACTCAGTCACCTCCAAACTCACTTTTACGGATCAGCGGACCAACATCTCGATCACATCACGGTGATGGTTGTTGCCATCCAGGTTTAAACTTTTTTCTCTCTCTTTTTTTTTTTTTTTGGAAAGAGTGGAAAAGGCGTTAAAGGATTAGTTGTTTCCCCCTCCTCCTTCTCCTCCTTTTTTTTAAAAAAATATGTTGAGTGAATGCCTTTGGTCAATGGCGACCGATTAGCCTTCGGTTTTTCCTCAGAAGAGGAATTAGCAAACCTATCGGATTGTTTTATGCCTGCGCAGAGCTGCTGACAGAGATTTTCCAGCCCAGCTCCGAGGCGCAAAACGCGAGGAGTGCAGCGGTAACATCCCGCAAGTTTGGGATCTGAAAGGCACGGCGGCTTTCCCGAAAGCCCGGTATCAAAGGTAGGACATTTAACTTCTCTCTGGTTTAACTTTTAACTCAGGTTTGGTTACTCTGTAGCGTGGTCTGGATGGCAGATGACTGGAGTGCACGCATTTGTAGCCCACGGCTCCTATTTCTGGATGTTGAGTTCACAGGTAAGCGCGCACTCCTCCCGAAAAAAGAACAAGGTTATAGAAATCCTGTAATTATTATTATTTTTCTTTAAATGGAAACCGTATAATAACACAGCAGAACTTTAATCTCTACTGCTGATCCCACCCAAGCACAGAAAACCAGCACGAGTGCCGCCACTTGTACAAATACCACGAAAATCAGGCCATCTCGAACATATACTCTCCCTCGGGCTCAATATAATGGTTTAGTAACACCCACTAATTGCATTTGTAACGATATTTTTAAGGCATTTCAAGTAGACTCACCCTTTAATTATTTTTTCCATCTTCATCTAAATATTGGTAGGTTAAATGTAGCCTTCAGAGTCAGCAGGTCATAGACATTATGTATTCAAATTAGGGTCAAATATGTTTTCTAATTATTTGTCAGTATCAGTTTATTATTAATATTTTGTTTATCATGTTTTTATTCATAAAGTCATAATGTTAATGTTACATTGGCTGACTGCAAAAAAAAATCTCACACCTTTGTATTTTCAATGGTCTCTACCTCATTTCAAATATCTCACGGTGCATGACGGGTTATTAGCAAGTAATATACGAGGTTTGATAAAAGCGAATAGGAATCAAGCTCCCATGGTGAGTAAATATAGCAATTGTGTGAATATGCCAAGAAGACTGTGAGGTATTCCCAGCAGCTTCTGTTTTAAATTTCTAAATTCTTACCATGTCAGTCATTTCAGTTTCATCAGCTTTTTTTATGGCAGCATATTTTTTTGTATTATGTGTGTCAGATAAATGAGTGGCTTATTGTGGAAAAAAAAAAAACCCTTTTGTGAAATCCCACCCCATTTTTGACCATGAATAACTCATTTCCAGGCTTGTACCATGTGCACTGGAGGCCTTGGCTACACGGATGTCATAAGGAGGGGGGGAAAACCCGAGGGATAGCTTATAGCCCGAGCAAGGCACACCTTCAGGGAGACAATTTAATGGATGTTATGGACTCAGCTTTTAGTATTCATAATTTATATGGGATCCTCTCAAAGCAAAGTGCAGATGCATAATAAATGTCTGAGTTAAGGTCTAACAGTTAGGCTACGTTTCAACACCCCTAAACTGTCAGAAATTGTTTCAGCCAGGACTACCTGTGTCTTTGAACTGTCATATATTTCACTTCTCAGCTCCTGAAAGTACACTGACATGCTTTGTTGAAAAGACTGAGGGAAAACCAGAGAGACTCATTGATGGGCATCTTCATCATCTTTTTGATACAGTTTTCTAAAAGAAACATGAGCAAAATTTATGCAAAACAAACTGTAATGTGTACAAGATGAAGACCACAAGGCATTAGTCTTCTTCTTTTTTTTTTTTTTTTAGACTTTTTCCAACTGACTGTATACTTACAAGTATTATTATACAGTCTTGACACATAACTCACTACGCTTACACTTTAAATAAATAATAGGCCTGTCATATTTTCCAGCGCAGGTGCGAAGATTTGGACGTTGTTCTCTCCTGCCAAACGAGACGTCTTGCCTTGGAAGGCTGCAGGCCAAACTTCTGATCAGAGAGATCAGAGAAAGTGAGAGAGACTAGCTTGCCTGTCCTCCCTTCTTTCTTTTTATGTCTCCCATTTCTCATGGGGCACTCTATAATAATAGTTCATTCGTCTTTCTTCTTTTCGTCCAGATTTAGATCTCTGTGGGCTACCTGCGTGACTGTTACCATGACAGCATCTGGAGCCCAGCTCCTCCTTTTGGCCCTCTGTGTTTGCAGAAGCTTGGGCGTGCAGCAGTCTGCTCCTCGGGTTCGCCTCTCCTTTAAAGGTGAGTTCGTACAGATTAACTAGAATTCTTCTGTCAACGGGGATTATCGTAATAGTGTATTGTACTTTTTTGGTTTCTCCCGCAAAGCCACTCGCTTGCGCAAAAGCTCACCCATACGCCCACGCGCGCATCCGAACTAGCAGTTCTATTTCCTTTTCATGCATATGTAAAGAACGTATTTCCTGCCACACGTCAAACTGTGCAACGCTGAAAACAAAAGGTGGATATTACGTGTGGCTGCTGGTAGTGCCCTTCAACAATTTGTCTCCACACCCTGAAATCCACACGCACTACAGTGTGACCTGTCAGTTCTTTGTTTTTTTGACGTCTGACGGTTTGACACAAGAAGGAAACAGCTGAAATTTGATCATGACCTTTTTGAAAGCCAGAGTAGATTTGAGATGGGGCAGATAGTGTTTTCTTTGAAGCTTTTTTTTCGCAGGTGTTTGGGATTTTCCCGTGTTGTCTGTTCCCTGTCGTCATTAACTATAATAGCAGAGATTCGTGTTACAAATATGTGGAAGACACCTTTGATCCAAACAATGTCGGATGATTACAGGTATTTTCTGCATCCCTATCATGTTGTCACTTAAACTCGCAGAAAGACACACAAACACGCACATGCGGGCATCACACCTGAACTTTGTGTAAGTGAGAATTAGAGGTGTGAGTGAGATTTATAACGTTCCCGAGCGCTTTCATGTGGAGTTGAGTCAGGACCTTCTGTTTGCAGGTCAGGTCTAGGCAGTGCTGACATGCTTGCTTCATTATGTTCTTCAAGTGCAGCGATTTAATGGGAAACATTTATGATTTGGTACAATTTCAAGAAAAGCCACGTGAGGCAGATTAGAGGTGAACTAATCACGGGATCTGTGCTTTATAGCCAGTGCTGTTTTGAATTCAGCTGATTTTGTAACACCAAAGACACGCTGTTGACAGCTCTTGCACACGGAGACACTTTCCATTTGGGGCTCGAGAAAGTAATTGCTGTGCATTTTTGCGTGACTTTTAACGCTAATCCCCTTTTGGTAAACAGCTTATACATACCAGTGAGTTTTTGCAGCAGTTTCAACAAAGTAGAAGTCTGACCAGTTGCGCAAGCTCGGTCTTGAACTTGATCGTGTTCCTCTCAGAAAAAGGAATTCACATCTGTCAGGAGCTGTCCTTGACAATTTCACTTTCAGGAGGATGTTTGGAGGAGCTGAAAGGTGAACGCTAGATTGTTCGTAAGAGCACGTTCGCAGACTTAAGTCACCCTTCCCCCTAATACCAAACAAAAAAAGGAAAAGAAAAAAGTTGGATTTACTCTGCAATTCTTTTCTGCGACTCCAAGGATTTATTGTTCATTGTTTGTGACAGCGAGTCTCTTTGTTCCCTTGAGGCGCCTGTGGAGGAGGTTTTTGAGGAGGCTGGAGGACATGTGACTCTTCTGAACGAATGAGCCGGGCTGAGTGACACTCTGGGGGTACAGGAGGCCTGGGGAGGAAAGGAACACTACACTGACTTCCCTGCTGCTGGGAAGTTGTATCAGTCATAAGCGCCGAAATGGGAATAACTGTAAATCGGTTGAATTAGTGTTGCTAGAGAGCAGAATCGGCAGTGTAACTGAAGCCATGTTTTAGAATCTTATGCCCTCGCCGTGCTGTCAGCAGTTAGCTCATACTCAAGAGACGTCTGGGACTACAGTAAATGGCAGCAGTCATTAGTGCCTTAGTGACAATATGTTGTCAAGCTGTAACACGAGAGCTCATAGTGGCCCAGCTGTGGCTTCATACTTGAATTGTGTGTCCTTCCCAGTGTTTCCCTGTCAGTGTCAGAATGTTGTCAGGGGGTAAGTGTTTGCTGAATGTTTACCAGATGATGGCAGTACATTGTTTGCTATTTTTGGAGAATGGAGACATGTATAGGGGTGTGGTGTTTCTACATTTAGCCTGTTCAGTGAATCCACTATGACCCAGTGATGTGGCGCTTGTCCAGAAGCTTGTTATCCTGTGTTTACCTCTTGGGAACAGAACCGGACCCCGTCCCACCTCTGAGACTCCATCCCATGTTGCCCGGAGATCCGATTGCATAGCTTATTTTTGTTGCACCTTGACTGCATCCTGTTAACACGGGCCTCAAAAGGAAAATGGAAGGTGCTTTGATGTAAATAGAGATTGTGCTTCCTCTTGATTCCCTGTAAGCCCACTTCTAAGGGTCTCTGTGAACATTTGTCAATATATAATCCTGCTGTCTTTACCATGAGTGCGCCATGTCACAGTGTGCACATATGGTGCTCAGAATTTTGCACATGCCACAGATGTACGAGCGAGTCTTACTTTGTATGTGTTTAAACTAGTTGTTAGATGAAAGAATGGAAACTTTCAGAAGTGAAGTCCTCCACAGTAGAGTCCATTTGTCTTGCAGCAGATGAAAATAGCCTAATCAGGGTTTTCAGGAGAACAAAAAAGGGGGAAACATTTTTCACTGCATGTCTTAACAGGTTACGCTCTGCTGAACACAAATCTGATCTTAAGAATTAGCCGCGAGTTCCACTGACCGTGTTTCCTAAGGGACTCGCTTTTTCGTCGAACTCCACAGGGCACGCGGTGCCTTAAACTCTATCAGACAGCCAGGACGCATAAAATATTAAGATCTTAAAAGCGAAAATGTTTCCTAAAATGCTCTAAGTTGAGTTATATTTAATCTGTGACACACATTTTCCTGCACACAAGTGAGAAGTATGCTGTTTAAGGGACCATAAGTTCATCCAAGTCTCTAATGAAACATGGTAAAAGCATAAAAGGAATAATATGACTGGATTTTCTCCACATGACGCTAGTTTTTCCAAGTGGCGAAGTTGTAATATTTTTTTTAACAAACTGGCAACACTTTCCAAACAGAACTGATGGACACAAGAGCGGCACGACCCTTCAGCTTCACCTTCAATACCAGCGATTACCGTGTACTTCTGATGGATCAGGACCAGGGACGTCTGTACTTGGGCAGCCGGGAGTACCTGGTGGCTCTGGACATGCACAATGTTAACAAGGAGCCACTCATAGTGTGTATAAATTCCTTTCTTCCTAAATCCGCTCTGCCATTTGGTATGTGGTATTTAGTCTCAGAGTGCATTGATCCTTAATAATTCACTGTTTGGGGGTATTTGTGCTTTTGGAACAACAGATCCACTGGCCAGCATCTGCTAAGAGAAAGGGAGAATGTCAGATGACAGGAAAGGGAAAACAGGTAGCGTCAAGTATTTACATCCTGTTCTTTCAAAAAAGTTGGAGGCTCCTGCTTTCAAGATACAGTGTTTGGATTCCATTTGTCTTACTCTCCTTTGTCAGGGTGAATGTGCCAACTTTGTGCGGTTGATAGAGCCGTGGAACCGCACCCACCTCTACACTTGTGGAACAGGAGCGTACCAACCCATCTGCACATTCATCAACAGAGGCTGGAGGGCAGAGGTGAACAAGACGATTACCGTTCCCTTAGAGGCATTTACAGCAAAACCCCTCCAGCTTTGTCCTCGCTAAATATTTCACAGCTACAACCCGGGGCGCTGATTTGTTTATGATTTCCCATGCTCCCTTGTGATGTCTTGGTGGTCTATTTTCATGCATACTGACTATCTAATCTGCCTCTGCAGGACTACCTGTTTAGGCTGGTCCCTGGGTATGTGGATTCGGGGAAGGGAAAATGTTCCTATGATCCCAAACAGGAGAATGTTGCAGTTTTGATCAGTAAGACATGACTGATTTATAGCCAGAAAAAAACCCCACTAAATTCCTTCTCAAACTCCTTAAGCTACTGTTTTACCACTCTGTTTTTTTTACTGTCCCACCTGTGCAGATGGTAATCTATATGCAGGGGTACATATCGACTTCATGAGTACAGATGCTGCTGTGTTTAGGACCATGGGAGGAAGAACGGCAATCAGGACAGAGCAGTATGACTCCAGATGGCTCAACGGTGAGTAAGTGTGGGTCTGAGTAGGTAAATATTACTGATTACAGGTTATTGCTCCGTTCATTTTTTTGACAACCACTTGCCTCAATCCTCTCTCTGCTTATCTGTTTTTATCCTCCAGAGCCTGTGTTTATTCGAATCCAGCAGATCCCTGACAGTGCAGAAAAGAATGACGACAAACTGTACTTCTTTTTCCGAGAGAAGAGTCTAGACTCCAGCGGCGGGGCGAGTCCCACTGTTTTAGCCAGGGTGGGAAGAGTGTGTCTGGTGAGCCAAAGCACACTGCGCAAGTTGTGAAACTATAAGCAGCTCACCTTTTTTAATATAAAATGCATTGACCTAATTCCTTTCCTGTCTAGAATGACGAAGGAGGACAGAAGTCCCTGGTGAACCGCTGGACGACGTTCCTGAAGGCTCGTCTTATCTGTTCGGTGATAGGAGAAGACGGGGTGGAGACACGATTTGACGAACTACGTAAAGTCATAATAAAATAAGCACTGTGTTTAAACTGGTTGCATTATAACTTGCCTATAGCATTATTGATTTGCATGTCATTCTTTTAATAGGGGATGTGTTTATACAGCCAACGCAGGATGAACGAAACCCTATGGTGTACGCTCTCTTCACTACAGCAGGGTGAGTCATATTTGGAGACTCGGCCAATGAATTCACTTCTCATTCAATCTCATTAACTCAGTTTTTATTTTCACACATTTCTGTGGACATAACTTAATTTCATGGGTAGGGTGCAAGCTGTCTCCTACCTCTACTTATTACCTTAATTGTCTGTTTGTGCTCAAGCTCTGTGTTCAAGGGATCAGCAGTCTGTGTTTACTCGATGGCTGATATCCGCAACGTATTCAACGGACCGTTTGCCCACAAACATGGCCATAATTATCAATGGACAGAGTACACTGGCAAGATTCCCTACCCAAGGCCTGGAACGGTAGGTTTCTGTCACGTAATGTCCAAAATGACACAATGGAATAAAACCCAGATGCTGAAATTTGAATCAAAAGGAAGTCACCAGATGATGCGCACGAAATCTCCCCTCCTGTTTTTTTCCACCCAGTGTCCAGGAGGAACCTTCACTCCTGGTATCCAATCCTCAAAGAACTTTTCAGATGAGGCTGTGAATTTCATCAGAGCCCATCCCCTCATGTTTCATTCAGTTTATCCTATCCATCGCCGCCCCCTGGTGGTGAGAACTGGTGTGGACTATAGGTACACTGCCCTGGTGGTGGATCAGGTGGATGCTGTTGATGGACGCTATGAAGTGCTCTTCCTGGGGACAGGTGAGACAACTTCAGGGATGATTGCACATGCTCGGTTGAAGTTGATTTCTTTCTTTTTTTTCATGCAAATGTTGTTTTTGATCATAATTCATTCATACTTCTAGATCGAGGCACTGTGCAAAAGGTAATAGTTTTGCCTAAGGACCCAACGAGCATGGAGGAGTTGACACTAGAGGAAGTGGAGGTTTTTCGGGTATGTCTAAATGTGTGGTCCTAAAAAGTACACAGTGCAGTGTGTTCTAAGAAAAGGGGTCGTTTATTTTTACATTTTTCTTTTTTTAATACATTTTTAGACCAGAGCACCAGTCAAGACTATGAAAATATCATCTAAAAGAGTAAGACAAATCTAACCTGGTCATATACATTTCTTTGCATGTATTGAAACAAATGCCCCACAGACACTTGCTGAGTTTTTTTTTTTTTGCTTGTGTTGCCACAGCAACAGCTGTACGTGTCATCAGACGCCGGGCTGACCCAAGTGTCGCTTCACCGCTGCGGGGTGTACGGCAGGGCCTGCTCTGACTGCTGTCTGGCTCGGGACCCCTACTGTGCCTGGGATGGAGAGAGTTGCTCTGCTTTCACGCCATCAACCAAAAGGTCAGGGACGTCTCATAAACCTCCATACTATAAAGTAAGATGTGACAATATAACGTCAAATTTCGACTCTGAATTCTGTCTCAGGAGAAGCAGAAGACAGGACGTTAAACACGGCGACCCGCTGAGGCAGTGCAGAGGCTTTAACGCCAAAGGTGTGGCAATTTTATGTGTTTTTAAAATGATGTAAACTTCAAAATTTAACATTTTTTTAACTTTATTTTTTTTACCATCTAAATGTCCAGTTGAGAAACGTCTGAGAGAGACAGTGCAGTTTGGAGTAGAGGGCAGCAGCACCTTCTTGGAGTGTCAGCCTCGTTCTCCCCAGGCCACAGTAAAGTGGCTCTTCCAGAGAGAAGGAAAGAGGAAAGTGGTGAGGAAGAGCAATCTTTTTTCTTTTTCCTTTTTTTTAAGATGCAAAAGGAATCACTTCACTTTTTGGTAACTATCTTTGTTGCTTTTATTGCTGAGAGTTTCTTTTTTGCCAGTAAGTATCGAGGTTTGTGATCACTGGCAACAAAGAAAAAAGTCCCTTCTTCCAGCTTAGAAATAGCCACACAATGCTGTAAGCAACAGCGGACCCTGTGTATATAAAGCAAAATAATTTTACATATTAAAATATGAACCCGTGCATTTTGCTACCTTTTATGTAAGAGGCTGTTTCTGTGTTTCCACAGGACAATTATTTGCCCTATTATTTAAAATTATTATTTAAACTTGTTCCCTTTCTTTGACTTATCTGCTGTTTCACCCTTTTTCCTTCAGCTCAACCGTGCCGAAGGGGTTGTTAAGACCAACCACGGCATCCTTCTGAAGTCTCTCAACCAAACAGACGCTGGGCTCTACCACTGCCTCGCCACTGAAAACAACTTTAAACACACGGTGACACGCATTGCGCTGCGCATCCTTGACCGAGACATCGTTTTAGCTCTCACCGCTCAAGACGAGGACGAAGAGCCAAAAACCCGTCAGACACGGCCATACTCGCAGTCCTCCCTCGCCTCTACACCATTCCCGCCTGAGATTAGACTGATCAATCAGTACTGTCAGTCCTACTGGGAACAAATCAGTCCCAAACAGCAGCAGCAGCGTAAGCGCACCAGCCGCAGGCACACAGAAAGCCAGGACCAAGGACTCGGCTAGGAGACGGGACCAACGCTGTCCGGCACTGGCCTGTATAGACTTTATGGTGGACTTTCATTTGACACATCTTTGGGTGTCACTTCTATTCATTAGGCAGGCGATGCTGTCTTTCTGTCCTTAACGTGTATTGGTGGTTTTGCAAACGCCAGCCCAGTAAATACATATGAAATATATTTTACACTACTGATGACCACATTCTAAGTTGTAGCATACATTTCTATTCGCCAAAACACAGCTGTATTACCAATGTGGTAAAAAAAAAAAAAAGAATGAATAACAGACTGCACATTGGGGTTGATCACATATTTCACACACACTTTGGTGTTGATTTGGACAAAGGCTGACTGTGATGTAAAGTATATGTAAGATATAGCTAATGGGCTCCAACACGCAAAAACACAAGTATGTTCTCTTTTAAGTATCTTGAAACAGAAATGTAATATATTGATTGTGAATATAATATATAAGGTCGTGATGCAGTCATTGGATTGCTCTTGCATAACGATGACATGAATGCATATTTTGCATGCGTACTGTTGTTGTTTGTTGCAAGTTGTACATTTAACTGTTCTGTTTTCTGGTGTGTTACGATGTTTGTAAGGTGTATTGTTTTATGTTAAGCTAATTCCATTGGATCTTGTCATACAATGACTCCCTTACTGTCCTGTGCATTAGTGACCTGCAGTATGTGAGTATTGAGGCTATGTATAGCGTACAGTGTTCTTCCAGTCATGCACTTTGTAGGTGGTGGTATTTGAGGGAACTGGGGATTTTTGCACAGACGTTTGAGAATATGATACAGGAACCTACTTTTTTATGTATAGTATGTTATAAAAATGGGAACGAAACTGGCTCAGATTTAGTATTGTTGGTGTTCTGTCATAAGCTGTAGTCACAGGTTGGTTTTTGGGTTTGTGTTTTTTTTTTTAAATGGCTCTTTAAGCATATTTTCCACTCGGAGCCGCTTTTCACCTCCATAGTGAGAATCACAGTGCTATGTGTTGTGATGCTGATGAATCCTACACTGGAAGTGTTAGAAAAAAATATAAGCATTTCAGAATTCTCATCAATTTGTTCCTTTCGATCTTTCATATTGAAATATTTGTTTCATTTTATTTCATTTTTTTTACGAATCCCCTACAAACAGCACTTTATCACATATCCAAGCTATACTCCAGTTTGCAGTTAACGAACCTGTAACAGATCATCGCATGTAACAGTGTAACAGTTCATGGGGTTAAAACAAACATCAGAACTCAAGCAAGTGGAAAATTCACAAAAAACAAGAACAGCTAGATCAGTCATCCCATTCATCGTCATCATCATCGTCATCCCCACCGTCATCTTCACTTTCATCTGAAAGACAGAACAAATATAAAGTGTTTGTAGCTCTGATGGTTTAACTCATGCATGCATACACTCACGCACCAATTTATTAGGTACACCTAGCTCATACTGGTTTGGAGCCCCTTTTTCCTTCAGAACTGCTTTCGTTTTTCAGCAAGTTACTGGAAAGATTCCACAGAGATTTTGATCCATATTTGCATGATAGCATCATACAGTTCCTGCAGATTTGTCAGCTTCACATCCATGATGCAAATATCCTGTTCCACCACATTACAAAGGTGAGCTATTGGAATGAGATCAGAGCCTGGGAAGTGACGCCTAGTGTGGTCTTCTGCTGCTGCAGCTCATCTTCTTCAAGATTGGAGTTTGGATGTGTTCAGAGATGCTCCTACCTTGATTGCAGCAAGTGAGTATTTCTGTTACTGCTGCCTTCCTAACAGCTCAAAGCAGTCTGGCCATTCTCCTCTAACTTTAACGAGACATGTTTGCCCAGAGGTTTGCTCCTGCTATCCAGCAGTTCATCCAAATAACTTCCTGATATTTTCTTTCTCGGACGATTGTACGTGAACCAGAGATGATTGTGCAGGAAAACATCAGTATATCAGCGGTTTATGCAACACTCTGACCAGCCCATTCGGCACCAACACCAAAACATGTCATATCCGCTTACTTAAATCACCTTTCTTCATTATCCTGATGCTCAGTTTGAGCTTCAGTAGGTGGTCTTACCTACATCTACATGCCTAAATGTACTGATTTAGTGCTATGAGATTGGATGATTAGATATTTGCATTAATAAGCAGCTGAACAAGTGTACCTAATAAAGAGACCAGAGTGTATATACAAAGATGTTACTGGTAGTGTAATATTTACCAGAGGAATGGATGACTTTGCTTCTCTTCTGCATGACCATCATGAGAGCACCGACAATGCCTTCACCTGACTCTGCTGATGCAGGTGGAGCTGGATTAGGGTCGTCTGTTACCTTTAATACACGACACCACAGGAGGACAAAATGTAAACGTCGGTACGCTCTGCAAATATCTCGGCATGTTGCAGCATGAAAATCAAGACGTTTGACTTATGTAACAGATGTTCTTGAGAAAGCCAGGTTTCTTTACATTTTTCAGTTTTTTCCCGAGTCGGATCTGATCCAGCAAAGCTCCTCTGCTGTCTCCTCCACCAACGGAAGCGGAAGGAGGTCGTGGTGCACCGCCAGACATGGGAGGAGGAGGAGGGAAATCTGAAGAAACAGAAGTTTGGGGAGGTGGCGGTGGTGGTGGTGGAGGAGGAGGAGGTGGGCCCCCTCCCCCTTCTCCTCCTCCTCCTCCACCACCAACCCCTCTGCTGGGTGTAGACGGGACAGGAGGAGGTGGAAAACCTGCGGCGCGCTGGCTTGGTGGTGGAGGAGGAGGAGGAGCGCCGTGGGAAGACATGGGAGGTGGGGCATGAGGAGACCTTGAAGATGGAGGAGGTGCAGCATGTGATGGCGGGGGTGGCGGAGGGCCGCTTCGGCTTGATGGAGGAGGGGGTGGTAAAGATCCACGAGAACGACGTGGCTCGGGAGGCGGGCCTGCTTGCTGTGAATGACCTGGAATGGGAGGCAGGGGGCCAGAACGGCCTCGCTGGGGTGGAGGGGTTGGAGCAGAGGGGCTAGAGCCTGGTAGCGGAGGGAGGGGCCCCTGTCTGCCAGGTGGAGGAGGTGGAGGTCCTGTAGCTACAATTGAGTGGAAGAAGGTATAAACATATATTACAACTCATCCATGGTTTAACAACGAGATGAGCCTGTTTGGAACAGTGAGATAGTTAACTGAGTCAAAAACGAGGCAGTGAGAGTCTAACCTGATCTGTTCACCTCCCTTTTGACTGCCTCCATCCCTCCTGACTGTTCAATTACATTATAAATGAGCTGAGAGGTTCTTTCATCCCTCATTTCAGCTTCACTAATGCCAGCTTGAGTCAGCAGCCGCATCAGGTCAGGGTCCAGGTTGTTAGGGTCCCACCCCACATGACTTACATGCCTGACGGAAGGAAAGAAGAAGGAAACAGTTTATTGAAGTTAAATTTAAACAACAAAATATGAACATTGCTCTAAAACCTCTGATAAAACTTCATTTTCAGCGAGTCATACACTCACTTAAATCCACTTGGTGCTCCTATGTCTGCTTTGGAGAGCTTGGGGCCTTTTTTCTGCTTCTTCTTCTTGTCCTTCTTTCCTTTGCCTGTCGCAGCAGAGGCAGCAGCAGGTGTAGGCACCGAGCGATAGCGTGAAGACTGGATATCTGGGTTTTGAATGTCCACTGTGGCCATGTGAAAAGAAGGAGGGCCACTAGGTCCTGTTTTTGGAAGACGTCCAGATTAGCTCACTGGTTAATATGTTGCTAGTATGTTTCATTTTATGTATCAATAGTAAAAGGTACACAGCAAAGACAGCAGTTGCACACCTTTTTCAGGTGGGGGTGGAGGCAGGGAACCTCTGTCTGCAGTGAAAGAAAACAGAAAATTATATGTAGCACTACAGTTTGCCACGTTTACACAGCATAGTGTTTTGAAGTTTTTGCCATCTTACCACTAGTGTGCGGGGGGCGCTGTTTCTTATCTGTGAGAGAGGTGAGAGAAACCATTTTGCATAAACGCCACACACAGCCGTTGAAACAAATGAACGACTTGATTCATATATAATCACGTGGAAGCGATTTTTTTCTAAGAGTACTAGAATAGGGTACTTGATAAACTTGATAAAAAAAAAAACTTCCTCATTTAGTGTGATTTTAATGTTTGTTTGTTTTTCCCCCACAGTGCTTTCTCAAATATATATTAACCTCAAACCATGTATACACAAATAAATTGTGAGTAAGTGGTAACCATAATATTTCAAATGTATTCTTTGCTTTCCAATTCTAAAAAGAGACATCAAAGCAGTGAAAGGCTGTGGCCTCACTGACCGTGACGGGTGTTTCTTTGGTTGATTTTTTCCTGAACAGCAGTTTGGAAACTGTCTGCTTCCTGCTGATCACAGAAGTTCAGTCCGACCTGGCAGTCCTACAGTGTATAACAAACGCACACAGAATCAGGATTGATGATTTTTGACCCATAGTGATGATTACACCAGACGTAATTGCACCACATCACATCATAATTACAGCTTTAAGATGAGGTAAAACAAGGGATGTGCTTACATCAGCAGGAAAGGTATGAAAGAATGGCTTTGGGGCTGAGTACACAATTTGGTTGTAGAGCTCCTGCTCCCAAACCATACTCCCGACCTGTAAAAAGAGTGAATTAATATGTCAGTCTTGTGAGATTAGAAACTTAATCTAAGCTATCTAATACGGGACCCATTATGTAGGGGGTTACCTTTAAATCAAACATCCGTATGAAATAGGAGCGCTGAGGGTTGTCTTTGACGAAACAGGCCACCCCAGTGTGCTGCAAGCTCCACATGGATGAACTGTTAGGTAGAGCCATGAACAGCTGTGCGACTGCGGTGGCCATGGACTGAACACATAGACAAGACAGACAATGAAAAGAGCTCAGAGCTGATAGGAAACTTGAGAGCACTTTATTACAGTTCATATGTAAATTTGCAGCTTTGCAGTCAGAATAAACTTCCTCATCTGCTTTCATTTGTTCAGATAAGGCTTAAAGTTTGTGATGCTCCTAGTTTTTCAATGCAGTCTTCTATGTAATTAAAATGTGTAGCTTGTGCACATCTAGTGTTTGGTTATTATGGCGGGGTCACAACTGTCTATTGTTTACCTCAGAGGCCAAAAGCAAGAACTGAACAAGGCAACTTCCACTGTAAGACCAACGCTGAGCATAGTGACTAATTCTGACAGCAGAGGAAGAATTGGTTCAGCCACCATTTCCTGTTACAGCTACCTACTTTTTGATGACCTAATGTCAGCAAATAACGCTTGAATTCACATAAACTATCAATAGATTTCAAAAATATAGAGTAAAATAAAACAGGCCTTCAAATGGACCAAAAATAAAGCGACTAAAAGTATTAAGAAAATAATCTGCCAAAAGAGAGTAAATGATGGTACAACAATGCTGTGTTAAAAGTATAACAGTCCTCAACCCATTGTTAAACTGTGCATCAATTAGAATGATGTGTACTCCAGTGTACGCCGCCTTCTTTTAAGGTAAACGCTTTTAACAAAAAGGATACAAGTCAAGACAGATAAAGCAGAGCGACATTCTTTCAGTTGGTAATCCCCTCCCGGGTCAGCTAAGAACTTACAGCACACCTTCTGCCCAGCAGCTCCTCCAGCTTCTCATTCTCCTGTGGGTTCAGCAGAAAGCTTTGAGTGCTCTCTGTTTTAGTTTTAGATCCACGACTCATGGTCCTGCGATAAAACCGGTTATCCTAAACTACTGTATGCACGGCATTTGAACAAGCGCCCTTGCAACAGAATACTCTCTATAGTTAGCTCTACAGTCAAGGAAGTTTCTCTTCTCTCTTCTTTGCACACATCAACTCAAAGCCGGAAATGAACGACCACATTTTTTCTTCTCTCGCTCAGACCCAGAGCACAAACGTGTTACTTCCATTTTCAGAAGGAGGAAGTGCAATGTTATATCTCTCCTCCTCAAGTAACGTTCTTTTAGATATGCTGAGTTTATGCGACCTCTTATACAAATTTTTTAAAAAAGAGACGATTATGTACAAATAAAACACATTTTATTGACAGTTAACAACATTCAAATTAATTT